AGGATTTAACTGTGTCAGCAGCCAGGTGAGGCTCTTCATTTCTGTGCCCGCCACGGGTGACACGGGCTATCTCTCAAAAAACAGTGCGAGCCTGTTCCCTTCTCCCCTGCACACACTGCTTTGCTCCTCGTCGGTTGTTTCAGCTCCTGCTAAAATAAAAACAGCAATAAAAGTCCTGCGAGGTACCAAGTTATGGGTTGATGTGGCCTTCTGCTCCCAAGGAGTGAACGTGGATGGCAGAAATACGTGGCCATCTCCTCGTCTTGCTGACAAGCCAGTTGCAGGCGCCCCCCCTGGTCTCCCCCTCCGACTTTCAGGCCCAGCAACATATAATTACTGCCAAATGACTTCCAGCTCCAGATTGTGCAGCTGGGATCAGTGATTACAACTGGAAGCAAATAAAGGATTTGTTCCTCAGTGTTTGCACTAGGGAGAATCATTACCTTTAAGATCATTTTAGATTAGTTAAAGATAGTTTCACATGGCATTTACATATTTTTCTAAAATAGTGCTGATGTAAGGTTGGGGAATGACCTCTCTCCCCTGAGAATGACCAATATTCCTCCAAAGCAATAAAAAAATAGATATACCCCAGCGATGTGCTCTTCTATACTAGGCAACAGTTGTTCAAGGACCTGACCTCAGGGAATAGTTTTTGGCAAGGCACAAATCCAGTCTTTAGCCCTTCAGTTGTGGATGCTGCAGGACAGGGTAAAGGTGATAAGTGTTGAGATAATGACATCTGTTTGCTCAGAAATGGCTTGAAAGACATTGGGCAGCTCTCTGCTGGATATTGTAGTCATCAGATGGTGGTAGATGAGCCCCTGTTGAGCTGGGCACGATTTGAACCAGGGAGTTAGAGGCAGTAAATCTTCCTCTTTGCAAAACAGAAGATACTGCCTTCCCTTTCCTGTGTAGTAGCGTGTAGGCAAAACCTTTTAGTATCTCTGAAATCAAGGTGGTGGAAAAGCAACCTTCCAATTCCTGTGCTTTTTCTTGTAACCAAGACATGCTTTATAGTAGTTGCAGGGGTTTCTTCATGATCTGGCCCCGATAACCTATTGCTGCCCTGTTAGGGGGTTGCACTGCAAGAGCACTTGAGGATCTTGCAGGAGATCAACAGGGTCTTAGATCCTGTTGTCCCTTTCGACAGGGAATGCAGAGGGCTGTTCAGAACCTACTTGGAGGCTTGCTGTAAGCTGCTTTGGGGAAAGCCACGTTATTTCTCTTTGATTTCAGGTCGAATCAAGTATTCGGAGCGAGTGTACGATGCATGTATGGATACATTTGACTGTCTTCCTCTTGCTGCCCTCCTAAACCAGCAATTCCTGTGTGTTCATGGGGGGCTGTCTCCAGAAATCACATGCCTAGATGACATTAGGAAAGTAAGTATTCTCTGGGGTCCTTTCGTGCCTCAGGCTATGTGGGCAGCTGGGACTGGGATTCAGCTCCTTTGTGTTTCTGCTTTGTCAGCCCTGGTCTGCAGATGCAATAAAGCACTGGTTTTTCCTGCAGTAATGAAGAGGGGGAGCATAGTTGACAATTAACAGTGTAAACTTGCTAATGGCAACTGCCTAATAGCATTCCCCCCTTCCAAGTGTGCCAGGTTGAATAAGTGCTTGGAGAGAGGCACTTTTCCTGGTTAGTGCATGGAGTTTCAGGCTGCAGCTTGTGTTCTGCATGCCTGTGCCAGGGGTCTCTTCTGTAGATTTGGAGAGTGAAGCAAAAAGGGAAGGAGGGAAGTCTCCTCTGTCACGCAACAAGGAGGATTAATCCTTCTCGGGGAGGAAAAATAGCCACAGCTCTAATTTCCCATTTAAAATAGCCTGTCTTCAAAATATGGGGTTATAAGCTAGTATGTTACCAAGTCATGGCAGCTTTCATCAGCCTTGTCCTGATTTTGTGTTCGTTTTTCAGTTAGACAGGTTTAAGGAGCCTCCAGCCTTTGGTCCAATGTGTGACCTGCTGTGGTCAGATCCATCAGAGGATTATGGTAACGAGAAGACCCTGGAGCATTTCACCCACAACACCGTTCGCGGCTGCTCCTATTTCTACAGGTGAGCGGTGATCCTGGGAGCTCCTGTGGACCAGAGCTCTTGGTCTTGCCTATGCTAAGAGGTATGGGGAGCCAAACTGGTGTTCAGATCACTTCATGAGACTTTGCAGTGTACCTGGCTGTGCACTAGTCTTCAGTTGACTCAAATGCACAAAATCTTGTCTTCTCCTTCAATACTGAGCTCTCTTTGGCCACGTTGCTGATACCAGACAGCAGCAAGACTACTGGTCACTGGCAGAGTGTCCTTTGAGAGGTTTTCAGGCATTGGACTATCCCAGGAGCTCTAGGAAATAATCCTTTCTGGTCCAAAAGAGAACATTTTTGCTGACAGACCGCTTGTAGCCTGACAGATAGAGAGGATTTGGCACCAGGGGACTGGCTAACAGAATGCTTTGCAATTAATTTTTGAATGATGTAATGTATTCTGGCCTTGTTTAGGGATGCTAGGCACAAAGCAACCGAATGGATGCAGCAAGTGGCTTGTTCCTGAAGCCAAGACCATGGGTGCTGGCCGTTCTCCTTTCTGCATGCTAATGTATGTTGAATTTTTGTTTTCCAGTTATCCTGCAGTTTGTGAATTTTTGCAGAACAATAGTTTGTTATCTGTGATCCGAGCCCACGAAGCCCAGGACGCCGGGTAGGTGCTGAGAGCTGAGCAGACTCCTTCTGCATTGGGGCTATCCTCAGCCAGACAAGTGTGCTAACACTTAGCCTGTTTTTCAGGTACCGAATGTACAGGAAGAGCCAGACAACAGGCTTTCCATCATTAATCACAATCTTCTCCGCACCAAATTATCTAGATGTCTATAACAACAAGGGTAAGGCTGGCAAGGCCAGGGCCCTGCTGCTGTTTGAGTGTCAGGACTGGCTTCTTGCTCTCAGGAAAACCTTTTCTCTCTTGCTTTGCCCACTCTGCCTCTGCTCAAGCTGCATTCTTATGCATGAAATGAAAAAGAGCTTTATATGCTAAACTAATGGCAGCTGAGGAGCTGGAAGTGACTGGGTCCTCTGACTCAAAGACTTAATGTATTACTGTTGCAATTAGCTGTCAAGTTATAAAGCTGGAATAATGCTTTCATTCCCAGCCACATGACAACTGAGCACTATTGATGAATGCTGCCATAAAAGAGAAGAAGCTGCTCTTTTTTTCCTTCTTTTCTTTTCTTATTTTCTTTTAAGCTAGCTTTTCTTACTTCACTCTGTCCCCTTCCTTAATGCCAAGTGTTTACTACGGGAAACTTTCCTCAGATGTTTTCTTCCCTTCACTTTGGATCTTGGCTCTACATTCCCTGCTTCTGATTTGCACAAATGTTAACAGCTTTATTAAATTGCCCTTCATTTTGATGAGCTTTTGTGAAACAATGTAATGGGTAAACAAAAAAAAATTGCTTAAGCCTTCTCATTTTGGAGAACTGGTAGCTTGATCTTGCATGAGTACAAACTTGTCGCTATTGATTAATGAAATTGCAGGTACAACTCCCTGAAGTTGGCATTGCCTACGGGCGTGTGTTTGTCTTTTCTTGTTCTCTCCTAGCTGCTGTACTGAAATACGAAAACAACGTCATGAACATCAGGCAGTTCAACTGTTCCCCTCATCCCTACTGGCTTCCAAACTTCATGGATGTCTTCACATGGTCTTTGCCTTTTGTAGGGGAAAAGGGTAAGAGATGTTTGGAGTTTATTCAACTTGCCCAGTGACTGGTAACAGTACATTGCAATTCTAAAAACCTGTCGCCCAGGCTATTAAATGTTTGCAAACCTAAAATTTGGTGCTGGCAGGCAGTGTTATAATTTATTAATCTCTAATAGCACTGGGAAGCAATTCAGGTTCAAGGAGATCCCTTTCCAACAAATGTGTTTTCCATCTCGTGGTGCGTTGTAACTTCCACCTCATGTTGGATGTTTTGAGGATGGCTTGAAAGTCCGAAGGGCTTAATGCAGAACCCAAGGTTGAATTCCCTACAGCTCTGCCCTTCTGGGAGCAGGGTGGCAGCTTTGGATTGAGGAGGGTGGGACCTTCAGTGAGGCCAGGCTGTTCTGCAAGAATATTGGCATCCTACTCCCCGTCTGCTTCATCTGCAATGTGCTTGGACTGCATCCACCTCCTTGGCAGAAGGTGTGAAGTGTGTGGTCTGCTCTGGGCCCTGCTGCGAGGTACCAGCAGCTCTAAAGTAGCCTTGGGTTTCCACTTCCAGAGTAGGAATGACCTTGAAACCATTTGCCCGTCCAGCTCGTCCTCCACATCCCTCTGCTCGCCAAGCGCGTGCACCGGGCCTCTCTAATCCTCCTGTCTGTACTTCTTGCAGTCACAGAAATGCTCGTTAACATCCTCAACATATGCTCCGATGATGAGTTGATTTCAGATGGTGATGAAACGTTGGAAGGTAACGATTGCTATTACAGCTGAGCTGGTAACAGTGGGGGTGAAGCTGGGGAAAGGAGGATGACGCTAGTTCGAGTGAGCAGCATCTGGTTTGGAGCTGGATGCCCAGCCAGGATCTCCAGTTTGGCTAACCCATATAGTCCTGGGTAGGATATGTGGGTTTTTTATTATTTTTTTCTCCCCTTTGCTGTTCAGTCACAGTGAAATGTAGTTATATTCGTAGCAAGAGCCACTTCTTGCCAGTTTCTCTGGAGAACTATTTCCTGCTACTCACAGAGGCTGCTCCCAAGTTGTTGTTTTCCCCCTTCCCTACTCAAAATTATTTGTATCAAAATATTTACCCATTTTTTTTCTGTTGCTCTGCAGTGTAGAGCCTAAGCTACAACATGCACCCATTGAACTCCTGGGTTAGGTGGCTCTCATATTGTCCTGAAAAATAGATTTTTTTTTGTCTTGATTTTAAGCTATATGTAAGGAGATAAAACTGTTACACTGATGTGCAGCTCTGATACCAGGGGGAAATTGCTTTGATTGATTGACTCTGTGCCTGAATTTCCCCTTGGTCACCACCTCGCTTTTCGAGTGAGCACCTTCTCAAAGTGAGGTGGGCACCTAATGGAAACTGAGGTGCAGAATTGGGGCTTGCACCTAAAAACAGGCATGTGAGCAAAGTGCACAGGCACGGGGGACACTGTGGGGATAACAGGGGAGCTGCTGATGCAAATTCTTATAGAATGAAGTAATATATTACAGCACAGAAGCAGAACACCATTGTGGTATAACAAGGTGCCACTGCGATCAACTGGTTGAGACTTTAACCCGCTTTTCCCATTGCATTTCGTTTTTTTTTTTTTTTTTCCTTTCTCCCTCCCATGAAAATTAAATTTGTTTCTTCTATCTCTGTCTTCATCTACTTGTTTCTTGGTGTCTCCTCTCCCTGAAGATCACTACATTTCAAGCTATCAGAAAGGTACCCAGCTAGACTTTGCTACAAGCTTAATTTTCACTGCCTGTGCCACCAGATTCCTTGGAGTGGATTTGAATAGCTGACTAGTTGGGCAGTCTCTTCATCCCCTTTCAGTTTTAACATAAGCGCCGTGTGTTTTTTAACCCTTCTGCGTTCCTCCAGGAACTTGAGAAACGGGGTCACGTTTCTATCTGACTTCTGAATGCAGCCACCTAGTGCATGGCTGAGCCATCGGTGCATGTTAGACCTCCGGTTTGGCTTGTACTGTTCTAATGTGTAGTTGGGCCATCTGAAGAATCTCAGCTGAGAGGAGATGTATTTGTTACTTCTTTTACTTTGTTTTCAGTTACCCTCCATGCTTTTCTTTCATGTTTGGTCTGTATAGCGGAAGGGGAGCTCACGTAACTCACTCTGTGTTTGTGTGGGGTCGAAGCAGAGTTGCAAGGCTCCGGCCAGCCGTTCACTGCGCGTGTTGGATGTCAAAGCTGATGCTTGTGTGACACTTCCCCGCGGCGAGCACAGCCTGGTGTTCATCAGCAGTCAGATTCGTCAGTGTTCTGCCTTGCAAAACTGTGTCTACATGGCTGAGTCATTTGTGTTACATCCTGTGTAGTGTGATCAAACCTGGTGAGCTTCAAACGAGAACTATCTGATCTGTTTCCTTTGGTGGTTCTACTCTCCGTAGACTTTTAAATCCGTGTGTCATCTCGGTGTTGCCCTTCTCACTGCCATCCTGACCGTCATTCTCTCAGCACTGTTCTCTCAAGAGTGTAGCTGTGACTCTGTAAACCATGACTTCTTTCCTGGAGTCAGACAGGTGCTTCATACTGACATTGCCTGTGCCTTGGAAGCAGGACGGAGGACCTTTCACATGCTGGTGCCTTTTTTTTTTTTCTCTCTCTCAAGGTGGGACAACAGTCCGTAAGGAGATCATCAGGAATAAGATTAGAGCCATTGGGAAGATGGCACGAGTCTTCTCGGTCCTTCGGTAAGGAAGCAGCTCAGGATTTGGTGTCCAGGTTTCATTAGCGTTCCGGGTAATGAGACATTCATGAGCTGCTCTCATGGCTCCATGAAAGCAGTGGGCAGGCAGTGTCCTTTTGGAGAACTCCTTATAAAACATACTTCATTTTTACATCATTTCATTAAGTAAAACACATTTCATTTTACTTCATTTTTACATCCATTACATCAAAGGGATCAAGTGGATCCCTTTCCAGATTGGGATGCATTTGCCATAGCTCCGAGGTGTGTTAAGTAAACGTTAACTTATTAGGAGAGCTCCTGAATGAGGCCTCCTGGATCCGCTCAGTGTCCAGCAGGTCGGCACGGCCCATCCGCATCCCGAGTGGAGTTTTCCTGCCTGGTGCCCTCATAGGGACCCGTGTGAGTGTCATCCTGCTGTCCCAATAACCGGTGGCCTCTCCTTTGCAGGGAGGAGAGCGAGAGCGTGCTGACCCTCAAAGGCCTGACGCCCACAGGTACCCTGCCCCTGGGAGTGCTCTCAGGGGGGAGGCAGACCCTGCAGACCGGTGAGTACGGGAGCAGCTCCCGCTTCGCGCTCCGATGCCGTGACCCTGTTCCAGAGCCCTGGAACAGGCTGCCCAGAGAGGTTGTGGAGTCTCCTTCTCTGGAGATCTCCAAACCCGCTTGGACGCAGTCCTGTGCCACGTGCTCTAGGTGACCCTGCGTGTGCAGGGGTTGGACTAGATGATCCCTAAGGTCCCTTCCAACCCTAAGCATTCTATGATTCCATGACCCGGCAGCTCCGTGTCCCTGCGCCCGCCCCAAAGCGCCAGGGCGGGCGCGAGAGGCGGCACCTGGGGCAGGAGGATGGAGAAGTAGGAAAGAGTAGAAAACCTAGGTGAGGACGTGGGGAGCATCCCAGAATGTCTCCTTATCAACATCAAGCATGGCTATTGCTTTATTCTCTTTCTGTAATGATTTTTATGGCTTATCTCCCTCCTAAGCTTGCATCAGAGGAGGCTCAGCTCTGTGTCATAATGCGTGTCCGAATGTAGTAGTAAAAAAACCTGCTTTTGTTTGCTCCTAATTAAACTAAATCCCTCCAATTGTGACCCTATAGTGAAGCCCAAGCAGAGGAAACTTAGATCCAGCTGGAGTCACAAGATTCCTCTTCCGGGCCTGTATGTTCCACATTACGGCTTCTGGAGGCCCCATGTTTTTGGGAGGTTCCTTCCCTGTGCTTTTTGGCAGATATTTTTGCTCCCTCCCATTTTGCTGTCCTATCAGTGCGCTGCCAGCAGGACGGGGCCGCGCTCCGCGCGTTCCCAACTCGCCTGGCTGACGGTCAGGGAACGAGTTAGCCCAGCCACACGTGTCCCCAGAGGGAATCCTGTAATCCAGCGTTTGAATCCTTTCCTGCCGCCAGCCTTGGGATGCTGGCACCCAACCAACCTGCTTCCCCTTCCCATCAGCGCCGGGTAATTTCCTGAGGGCGCCGGAGAGGGCTTGTTCTGGGATTGCCTTGATTAAATAGTTCAGGAGTGAGAAACTCGTCAATATTGCCGCGCATTCCGGGGGGCGGGAGGCTCTGCTGTCGCTCCCAAACTCATGGCGTTCTCTGCGCACGGAGGAGGAGGATATTTTTTAGGTTTTTTTTTCACTTAGAGCAACCACGATGGTTTCTGTTGCCCCAGTTCTGCTGCAGGGAGAGCAGAGCGTGCAGGGGAAGCCGGTGCTCGTCTCGAGACCTCGCGCTCCTTGCGCGGCCTTGCTCGGAGCGCGGGGTCGCGCTTTCCTGCGCTCCGGCACCTTCCCCTCTCCAGGGATTCCTCGGCCCTGCCTGAACAGGGAGTAGGCAGCTTCCCGAGGCAAAGGAAGCCGGAATTTGGCTCCCGCAGATAGGACAAACAAGCTGGACCTTTGCTGCTGCTTTCCCAGGCCCCGTGTCCTGCCCCTCCGTCCTTGGCGGCCGCGGGTCCCCCGGGCCCCGGGGCCGCC